GGGGAGGCATGACGGTGTTCTCACGCCACAGGATGAGTAGAGTCAGCAACACAGCACCCATGGAGACCGTCGCCATCCCCAACAATATGATCCGTGTGCCCGGCCTGCAGCACCGCTTCCTGGGGGGCTTCTCAAATCCTGTAGGAACGAGGAGAGAGGGGTAGGGGTGGGGGTGGGGTGAGCGACAGGCTGAGGCTGGGCGCTGGCCCTGCCTGCCTCACCATCAGAGACCCGCTGTCCTGGGAGACTGTCCTGAGACTGCAGCAAAGCAGAGGGTCTCAGTGGACCCCTGACTCCTCAGTGCACCTTCCCTGCAGATGGCTGTCTTGCAAGTCCCTGCCCACTCTGTCCAAGCCCACTGCACCCCAGACTGTGCCTCTAGCCTTGGTGTGTCCATCCCTGCATCCGAAGGCCTCTGGGTCTGTCCCTCTGTCCAGTGCCATCACGGCCATCTGCTCTGTCTACACTCTAGCAGCTGGCCAGCCTGACTTGGGTCCAGGTCACTGCCCACAAGAGCAGGCTTAGGGTCAGGGGCTGAGCCCTCCCCTCCATGGCCCACCTCTGCAGATGACTGACCTCCGATGTCCCCTTCCTCCCTTGAAGGGTTTCATTATCCCAGGGCACTGCTGGGTGCCCTGCATCACCTCCAGATGGCTGGGCCCCTCGTCTCCCACTTCTGGACCTCAGTCTTTACCCTACACCTGGGCCTCCCAGCTCTTCTTGTTGCCCATCCCCACACCTAATCACAGGAGTCCTTCCTCCATCATTTGCTCCCCAAACTCTGCCTCCAGGCCGTCCTCGGCTCCCCGGTCCCCTTTGCTCACCCTGGTCCTGAGGATCCATTCAGCAGAGTCCTGACTCTTGGCTCCCACTCCACCTGCCCTCCTGCTCCGTGGAGCTCCTAGCACCCCAGTCCTGCCGGGTCTTTTTGTCTGGAGGGTGTTGAGTCAGCAAGGAAGGGCCCGCTGCTTCCCTCTCCTGCCCGCCCTCATTTTGGGAAAGTCAGCCGGGCCCCTCCTCCCTCCAATCTGGGTCTTTCCTAGAAATGCACCCTTCTTTCCAGAGCGGCATCAGGGCCGCCCAACCTCTCCTGGGTGGAATGTGGGGGCTCAGGTCCAGGGGAGGTTCCCACCTACGTATGGTCTTTCCTCCATGGCGTTACTGCTTGGACTCTCCTGGTGAGGGGACACTCACTCTCTGACACGGCGGTCCACTCTCGGTCACGGCTCGGGCTGGAAGGAAGGCCAGGGTTAGGGGTCAGGCTCTGGCTCCCAGGGTCTGGGCCCAGGTGGCTCTGTGATGCTCTGCTGATTTGTCCCTTTGCTTCTAAGACCCGGCATCGGTGTTGTCATGTGCAATCATTTGTCCAGGTCACACAGGGGCTGGGACTTCAAAGGCAGGCTTTGGGCTTCGGTGCTGGCCCCGTTACCTGAGGACACAGCTTCCAGTGGGGAGTCTGTGGGCACCAAGTCTGCCTAGTAGAATCGGGGCCGCCAGACCAGCCTTTTGCAGCCCAAGAGGCCCTGCCTGCCCCTAGCCCCCCTTCACTGCCCAGGGCCCCCACCCATTGTGGCTCCTCTGCTCTGTTGGGTCAGACAGTGGCTTTCCCATCCCCAGACACGTCCCTTAGCCTCCTCTTGCTGCCTCACGCTCCTGCCCTTCTCTGACTGTAGACCCCTGGTCACCCCCTACTCCTGCAGGCCACCCCCCAACCCCGTTCCAACATCCACGCAGCTGTTCACACAGGCACATGTGTACACACAACCACAGACACACAGCTGTTCACACACACAAACACATGGACAAACCATCTACCTGCACAAAGCCACACCGTCACATGTGCATGCACGATCACACAGGGTCACACAAGACCCATTCATACACATAGACACACAGTCACACACATGTGCACACACACAGATACAACATTCAGTCATACATGCTCACGGTCATACAGACATGCATATCCACATCCACACAGGACACACACAATCACATACACGCACACACATGTGCACACATTCACACAACATACACTCACACACAGGTACACCTGTGTGCACACACAGAGACACAACACACACATTCACAAGAACACACACACACGGATTCTCACACACACACATACCATGTGTATGCACAGTCACACTCAGGGGTTACACACACACTCACATGTGTTTTGAGCCTGGCCTCCTGGCCAGGTGGCACCCAGGGGTTAGGCGGCAGGGATCAGGGCAGGCAGCACTTGAGGAGGAAGACTGACCCCACGGAATGCTATTCTCAAAGATCTAATCAGGGCCACCCCGGATGACTGCATGACACGCCTGGCCTGCTTTCTTCTGATGTTCCCTGTAACCCGGGGAAGTCCCTGCTATTATTACCTGCATTTCTAAGGTAGGCGGGGCAGGGCCTAAGCAAGCCTGTGAAGTGCTGCCGGAGGAAGGTGTGAGGCGAGGCTGCCAGCAGAGAGGGGTCAGAGGGAGGGAAGGAGGAGAGACCCACGAGGCAGCCTCGGGATCAGATACTGGCTATTTCGTTCCAGCATGTGCTGGCCATGGTT